CATAGTATTAAAATACCCTGTTAAGACGAGATGAACCAGGACGAATGTCGTCACTTTATCGAAAAATAAATCCATGTATACCCATCCAGTTACATCGCAAAATGATAACTTAGATATCAGTAATCTTATGAAAAATAGCTACTAAATATGCAGAACGTCGAGGAATAAAATTGACGGCACAAAGTATAGACAGGGGGAAATATATTAGACGAGAAGTGCAGGCTTGTATGTAAATTCAATTATGTATATTCATCCAACACATGTAACAGTCTTCTCATGAATATCCTGAGTTTAAAAATTAAGATACACCGTTAGACGAAATCCACCAGGATGAATATCGCAACTTTATAATTCCCCTAAATTGTATATAACTCTTAAAATAAAATCACCTATCCAATTACATTAAAATGATAACATGAGACCCAGTAATCTCGATAAAAATGGAAACTAAATATGAACATCAAATAGCAAAATGACTAATAGTACAGAATACACTCATCACGCGACGATGCGTTAAAAATGATTAAAAATTAGTAAAAAAAAAAACAAAGAAAACGATCCAATGAAGTCATTCACTATCATCCTTCTCTCTACAACTGTATAAAAAATTCCCCAGTGCCTATGTGAGCCCAAACACGAGTGAACAAATTCCCCGAAAATTTATGCCCGAAATTTAAACTTAATGCGTCTTTCCGTACACTGAGAAAAAGTATCACTGAACCAAAGAAAATTATTAATTAAAAGAATAATTATTTCGCTCAAATGAACTCGAATAAATTGGACGCAACATTTCCTTGGAACGATGCCAATTAATTTGAGTGAAAAATAATCGTTCTTTGAATTAAATATTTCTTTGGTTCAATGAATGTTTTTCTCCCAGTGTACATGTCCGTCAGCCGAGCTTTTCGCGAGTGGAAATTATTCAAAGTTATTCAAAGTGACTCCCCGTCCAAAGAAAACACGTTTAACTCGTAGCGTGGCGAATATCGTTCCTCTTTCCTCATTCTTCACTCGGGGCGTTTAATCGAGTTCTTTCTTTTGCAAGGTTTACGGTACAGACGATTTACGGCAATCCCGAGGCAGGATCGGCAGAAAGTTGCTTCGCGAGTTGGCAGTGCTTGATATCGTATAGGGATAACGAAAGACTCTCAAGGGTGACGGCTCGCCATGACAGGGTAATTATCTGGATCGACCGGTTAAGTCGGTATATATTGCGGAAATAATGCGATAACGATGCCCCGGGATCGGATGTGCGGCCACGTGCGTTTCGACTCATCTCATGACGCTTCACGTGCGCCAGTGACGCTCCTCTGTCGAGAATAATCGAGGCTAACCTGCCAATCGATTCTATAGATAAACATTTCAGATTTCAGCTTCTATGGTGTACCAGCCCGAGAAAACATGCACAATGGCGGCCATGAATGCCTCCCCCGCAGATACGGCATCGCCTGTGCAGGATGGGAGGGCATTGATGTCTCCCAGTGTACACCATGTACACAAAGGAAAAAAATGTCATGGAACCAAAGAAATATTTTCTTAATTCAAAGAATAACTCATTTGACTCTAATGAACTCGAATAAATTGGATGCAACATTTTCCCTGAGTTATGACGATTTATTTGAGTCAAATAGTTATTTTTGAATCAACAAGACCTTTCTTTGGCTCGATGAACTTCTTTGTTTTTCTTCTTTTTTCCTTAGCCTACAAAGACTGAAATAATTTGCAACTGTTGAAAATGCGAGCAATATTTGGCAAGAAGGAAAGTGCATGTATCAATATCCAGTGGTCGAATATTAAATAACAAGAGGTAAACGAACGGAATTGCCATAGACAAATTCGTATACTTGTTTATTATATGGGTATCATAGAGGTGGGGAAGTAATTAGATATTATTCGGGTTATAATGTAGTCAGTAATGCCTTGTTTAATCCTGTGTTTTCTTGAGAAATATGCCATTTACGATAGACTAAGTTTATTTTAAGCTCAGTTTTTCGTGGAAACTTCGAGTTATCGAAGAGGATGAACGGGTATAGCAGGAAAAAACATGGATTCCGTGCACGAGACAAAGCACCGACGTCAATGATAGTCGGAACAAAAGCTCGAGCATGTTGCAAGGGATTACGCAATGTGACTATCTAAAGTAGCCGGTTTTCTATGTCGTTTAACGACGTAGTGCAGCCGGGACGGTATCCTGTTCCATGGACACGAGATCGTACATTTCCCGATGCATTTGCACGTGAAATTGATTTGAGTAATTCTCTCAAATGCCCAATTCGTTACTCCCTACACTCATTAGTCCAAGTATCGTAAGAAGCACAGCTCGCAAAATGACTAATTATTACGGTACTTTCGTAATGGAAATATCCAACAATTTGTCAGAATCCTCAGGTACTTTAATATTGGCAAAAGTATCGATAAAATAGTAAAATTTGCAGACAATTGAAACATTTTGAATTGTTCGTTATTACACCCCTAGATTTACCTGCTTACCGTTTGAAATACTGCTCCTAAAATTACTCTACTTAATACGGTACTTTATCTATAATTTAAATACCGAACAATTTATCAGAATCCTCGCGTACCTTAAAATTGGCAAAAGCAGCGATAAAATAATAAAATTCACAGTCGATTAAGATATTTTGACTCGTACGATAAAATGCAACGCGAGACTCCGTGAACAATTTTCCTAAAATTTGGATTGGAAATCCATAATTTTCTTAAATTATCTTGAAAATTAATACGTATTCTAAGGTGTATATTATATTAAGTTTGGCAAAAGTAGAGGTAGAAAGGTGTTATGGAAATCGCCAATTCGTGGGATCACATGACAGTTGTCATATAAAATAATAAAATTCAGTCGATTAAAAATATTTCGACTCGTTCGATAAAATGCATCGCGAGACTGCGTGAATAATTTTCTTAAAATTTGAAATGGAAATCCATGATTTTCTCCAATTATCTTGAAAATTAATACGTATTCTAAGGTGTATATTATATTAAGTTGGCAAAAGTAGAGGTAGAAAGGTGTCATGGAAATCGCCAATTCGTGGGACCATACGACGGTTGTCCCAAGGAATTAGTACAATCTTGTCGAATAATCCGGAGGAGGATTCCTAAAGAGAAAACTTTCCCGTCAGCAGGTTTAGGATGCTCGATCTAACTAGTAATGTTTTCGCCTCGTCGGACGTAGAGGAATATTCCGCTAAATGGAGATTACGTTTCGCAAAGATAGGAGAGCTTTCGAGGCTTATCACGAGCTGGAGGTTAATGGCGCGGCGCGACGCGTTTACACTAGTAAATTGCTGAAATTAGTATCCCCTCGCTCCAATTATAATTAGGCCGGGCGATTATAGAAATTCGCAATCGCGCGGCACGCTCAATAAATTCTTACCGATCTAGTAATTCATTAACGTAATGCTTTCGCTGGAGAGTCCGAGCTTATCGGCGAGCCTTTTCATTTATTCCCCGCATCGCGTAAAATTGCTACAATTTATCGTGCTAAAAGAGAAAACAAAGGAGAACAATTGTTCCGGGAGTCTCGATAAGATCCGAGAGTCTAAAGGACGTTTAAAAGAGGAACGAGAGGGACAAAAAGACTCATTCTTACGCACCTAGTGCGTCAGTATATTTATAGAACAAGACCGCGGAATATTTCTTAATGATACCAGGGCACGATATTAATGTACGGTCGATTGTTCGACTGACGTAATTTAATAAAAACATAAACAATACGTACAGGGTAATGGTCTTATTCCTCAGATAAGCAGGGCAAGAAGTGCAGACTCAACTTTTGTCCCTGACGTCTTAAAGTTCAATTATAATGATATATATATTAATGATTCTCTATTTTTAAGTATTACTTTATATCTTAATTTCACCCAGGGGTTAATACTTTTATAATAACAGAATGCGATGAAATATGATAAATTTACTGGCGACTTGACCTTAGGTAATACCCGATGAATTTCATTTTTCGTTACTTGGCTAATTTTTACTCCCGGGACAAGAGTTATTAATTCATTTTTATTATAGTTACCCGATACAAAAATATCAAGAAAAAGTACTCCCATATTTTTTTCCCGAGGATCAGATTTCCCAGAAAGGGCCAACGCGATCAGGTTCAGATATTTCTTTTCAGGTTTGAAACCCAATACATGCTCCATATAAATAATCCACGAGAACCTCGCGTAAAATGGTGTCTACGTCATTCGCACTTTTTTCTTCCTGGTTGGAGGTGATCATACTCGTGTTACATTTACAAGAGTGCCGGATGATTTCATTACATCGAAACATTTCCCAACCCGACGAGATTCTTAGACACCGAGAAGTGCGCTCTTGCAGCAATCCGAGCTTGCAGGAAGTACGCAAGTACACGGCTGGACTTAAAACAGGTGTTCTCCACCGAGATATCGTGAGATTCATGTGATTCACCGCGATTGCGTCAATAACGAGGAGAGATTGACGTTCCGGAATCGCCGAGCCGGATAAAGGCTTTTAAATCTATCCAAGTTAACCCTTTGCGGTCGATGCCGCCACAATGGCGACATTCGCAAGTCGTCGTAGAAGTCGGTGCCGCCAGCCTGGTGGCATGATGTCATTAATCCCTCAAATGGTGGAGGAAATTATTTTTTTGGGGCATGGAGATGTGCGTTAAGTGCTAAATTTACTCCGACTAGCTGGTACCCTCATCAGAGAAATTTGCCGATCGCAAAGGGTTAATAGTGAAAGCCCGTTTCGGATTCAGCCTCACCTGAGTCTTCCGGCTATCTTTATCGGTACGTATTCCGACCATGACCATATTTTATCGATATTCCAATGGTCTCCATACCATTCCAGGAACTAAATCACAAAGGGGTTGGACATTAACCCGCCTTCCCTCTGTGATGATTAATGCAAGACACGGAGTGATTCAAAATTGACGTCAATCTTGTGCAGATGCGGGAAAGAAAGTCACGTTACGGGACGAGGACTCGTCCAATTTAGAAACTAGTTCTACGTACAGATTGATTGCCTTCGTTGTTCTGGTTTGCGCTCGATCAGCTGCTGCCGCCTTTGCTGTCAGGCACGCTCAAGATGCGGATCACGTATTGCAGCATTTTGACCAGCTCTCGTTCCTGCTTGGCGTCGTCCATTGTCAGCAGGGTTAATTTCCCTAGGACCTCCTGGATGCTCTGAGAGAATCCGGCGCTGCGAGCGATCAGCTTTCCTTTCTGATTATTGGCCACAAGTGACCAGAGAGTGGAACCGGCAATTCCGATTTCGCAGAGGGAGCCGTTCTTCAATGTATTATGCAGCAGGTTGATGAAATCCACTGGAAGAAGAAAGTTAAGGTAGCTGGTATTAATTATGCATCGAGTTATTTCAGTGCACTGCGAACGAACGACGTTATACTACCGCGTACGCGCAGGCAGAAATGTAATAAAAATGTTTAATGAGAGTTTCCGTGACAAACACGCGAGTTAGGGTGTGATCGCTTCGAGTTTATGCGTTTCTGCCCGAGAAAAATGAAGTCCTGAAAATTGAGGACTCCGTTAAAAAATTCCGTATTCAAAGAGGACCATCGAATAAACCGATGACTTCTCTTGCGACTCGATCGGCTAAGATTTATCTTGAAATTCAAGTTAACCGAAGATATGACGTGCTTGATTTTTACCACTTTTTTCGTTTTTATTTATAATTTACAACTGATAAGGTCACCGGCAAATTCCATAGAAAACTACCCATTCTTAGCCTCTCGAGTCAGAATTTAACAGATAACTATGCGAGTTTCGAGCTTAGACTCTAACGCAGTGGGTTGACTTGTTTCAATATTAACTAGGTTTACCAACCTAAGCTTAGAAGACGTGGTCTGTTCGTCAGATTAAAGGCCAAATTACGCAACGTTGAAATTGCTAGTACTCGAGTGGAAGATGTTGAGCATCCTGCTAAATGTATCAGAACGTCCAGACCATCTGTGGCCTAGAATTGAAAGATAAATACCCGTCATTATTAACTATTACATACTCCTGGTATTGATCTTGGATTACAATTCCGTCCGTAACGTCTATCGAAGGCACATATAAAACTGCCAGAGATCAATGCAACCGAGAATATTGAACCGTTTGAGGTAATTGAGTACACGTCGATGAGCGGCCTGTTAGTTCTACAAAAACGTTCGGATAATCTCTTACAAAGAATTAAGAGACGGACACCAGTCGTTACTAATAATTATATACTATTGTCACTCATCTTGGATTACAGACTCATTGCATAATTTTAATAAATGCAGTCTTTAGACGTCAGCTAGAATGTCCCGAATGGAAGGGTGAAAATTGTAAAAAAGAGCTGCATAAGTGTTAATCAAGAATAGTCGTTCTGGAAGTGACATTTGTCGCCACGCAGACTGGGAATCCGTCGAACTTATATTTCCTAGGTTTACATAATTGATTGCAACAAGTTAACTTACTTTGGGAACAGCCAACTGTCCTTCCTCATAAAAGGTGAAGTCGATAAGGAATTCAAGGCAATAAATCTCCACCAGCGGCCAGGGCTTGGCCCTCTTCGTCGTAACTGGATGTATTTTCGAAAAAAATTGAAGGAGATTACTCTGAAAGGAATATCGCCGTTATTACCGATGCACTGCTTAGCATATTTTATAAAAAGAACGACCAGAAAGAGATAAGAACGAATAAAATGAATGGCGAGGCCCCTGAAAAGTTCTATTGGGCATCACCGGTTTACCAAGTTTGATTTCTTTTGTCATTACCTAACTCGTTTGTTAAGGTTTTTAACATCTTAATAGCTATATATCGCAGACATCCGGAAGAAAGGGGCCTTATAAAAATTCATGTGCATACATTGGTGCGCCCTTTTGTTCTCGATGCAACGGAGAAACCCGATTTCTTAGGCTGAATTTATTTTCGAGAAACCCGAAACCCGCTTTTTGCGAACGGATAGTAATAGGCTTAGCCGGCTTAATCCGATGGAATTACAATTCAACGTCCATTACTGGATTACGGATAAAGCTCTTTATGGTTTTCAAGCTAGTGACAGCTAGCACAAGATATCATTTTGGATTGTTTATTGGTTTCCGTGCTCATATTTTAAAAATTCCGCACACGATCGAACTAACGGGGTGGAAACTTGACAAATCAGCTTTCAGCTGATGATCCAGGTTTGAATTTTGATTGAGTCGCAATTTTTGACGAATGCTCCTGGAAAATAACCGGACCTTTTACCTTGGCGATCGATACTCGGCATTCGTGGACATGAACGGCATTTCGCAGGGTGTGAAACGCGAAGTGAAGTTTCTGGTTGTCAAACTTTTGCCCGGCTTTCTCGATCTCTTTGGAGACCACGTGAGCGATGACGTGAATCAATGCGACGGTATTCGGGGTTTTCCTGAGACTCGTTCCAGGTAAGGTTGTTGTAAGTGTCAGCGACTGTCCAGCTGCAGAAAAAGCAGAGGGGAAAAAAATTACAGGCAAATAACAGCTAAGACAAAACGACAGAGTAGCAAAGGTGAAATCTTAACGGTCTGGGCAATATAAGAAGAGGAAATAGAATTAAGAAACTCGATACGTTGAAATTCTACATCGTGAATCGTTTCATCAGTTCGTTTTAATTTGATCACTTCGTGAAACTGAGACTTGAGTTGAGTATTGGTTCTTTAAGGTGTTATGAAAAGGTCATTCTATATATATATATGAAACATCAAAATATTTACAAAACTTTTCTCCAAACTGAGTGCACAGAATCATGTGAAACTTCGGCACGTTATTACGGAGGCCCCAAGGAAGAACGCGATGCTAATGAAAATTTCACTTTACAAAAGAAATGTATATTATCCATCTCGGACTAGAACCAAGGACACCAATTTCTTGTTTTAAATGAAAGTTCATGAGCATCGCACTCTTCCTCAGGGTCGTCATAATCATGTGATGAAGTTTCAAATGATTCAGTGCGCCCAATTTAGAGAAAAGTTTTATAAATATTTTCACGGTTTGATATGCATAGAATGACACTTTCATGTCACCTTAATGTATTTCTGACCCCGAGAAAGTGTTTTTTTTTTTTCTTTAGCATTGATCACTTTACCTTCAGGACAGTGCGTTGTAAAGGTCGCCAACAATTTGAGTGCAGAGATTACGACTGTTTTATTTAAGTCGACCCAGGCCCAAAGTTTGTGCACGACATCGGCCAAGCCAGCTTTCGCCAAAACCTCCTTCACCTCGACGTTCCCGTACATGAAATTCATCAGGAGTATAAAAATGCAGTTAACGTCATGCAGTAAAGGATGCATCTGCGCAAAAAATACACAAAGACCTTATGTACCTCTGGTGGGATATAATGCAAGTGGTAAGAGACATTTAGCAGCGGAAAACCCGAAGTTTTGACCTCAACGGCCCTCGCCCTCGCTGTTTAGTGATTACAAATTCTGCATACATTTGTTCAAAGCGCCCGGGAAAACCATTCCGGTCATCAAATAATTTATGTTTCCATTGCGACTTACAAATTCGGACATTCCGTCTCTAGGTGATTTCTTTCTAAGGCTTTGGCGTTCTCGCTAAGCTCCCATTAGGTTTTCATCAAGAAGAAAGTAAGATAAAAAAAGAGAACTGATGTAATTGTAAGAGGATATTTTTTAAATATTCGTAGGAACAATAATTACGGTAATTAACACGTTGGTCGCCCATATTTCGGCTACCATTCACGTTTACATACAGCGTCACCCATATCTGGGTGACGCGGCGACCAACGTGTTAAATATCTTTTACTTTCCTAAGTGAATTCAGTAACTGGAAGGGAAACAATTTCTAAAATTCTATCGCGGGTTTTGAGTGTATACCTTCTTATCTCGGTCGGATTGGTTCTTGTAAAGTTCGAAGGACTGAAAGTTCAATTTAACGTAAAATTCCTTCAACAGTATCAGAGAAGTCTCAACTAGATTTTCTTCCAATGCTGTTCGTTTCGCTTCGGAGGAGATGCATAGCAGGTTCGTGAGAGCTCCTACGACGATGTCTTTGTCCTTTGACTGCTTGTGATTCTTTTTAGATTTCGCGTAATTATGGGCCAGGTATAATTGTAATAAAGACCTGCAGATTTCTGATCCAACTGTGGTGTATTCCTGTCGATTCGAAGACAAGCGATCGTTTCTGGCTCTCGCCTCATCCTCATTCGTTGCGGACCGTTTCGTATGAGCATTGGCACTCCTTATAGAAAGTTCATTAACTTTTGACAATACATCTCGCATGTCATTTTCCTCGATGCAATCTCTTGGCGAGAACTGAATCGTGTCCAGAACATGTTGCAATAGCGACGGGCCGTCTTTTTCTGCAGCTTCCCGTTGAATATCTGATGATAATAAAAATGCTAAAGCAGCAATTGCGCTCATTCGTAAATCCCACGTAGAGCTTTTCATTGCCATGCAAATTGATGTTAGCACAACCTCTGGCCCACAGAGTTCCAAAGCTGTTTGTATTGGTTCAAAATGCTGACCCTCGGTGATTGATAGTGCGACAAAGAAATTGAAGACTTCAGTCCACAGTCGATTACGCAAATAAATCAACCGAGATGTGTATGTATCTGGATACAAAGGAACGTTATAATTAATAGTACATTATCATTCAAAGCAAGCAAGACTTAGAATAAAAATTACTTTTATATTACAATATCTTAGCTAAGTGATCTTTCAACCTTCTATAAAATTTCTCATCCATAATAAAGAAACTGGGACGAAATATGTATCGGATTTTTGTAGAACTTTCTACACCATTTTTTGCATATTTCACATACAATTTAAGCTAACATAGCTTTAATGGAAAAACTGCATCTTTAGTGTGTATTCTTGTACACGGACTTACGGTATAATTCATTATTCAGCATGGTGAGTAGATAATAAAGGGAGTCCGGTGATACCGATACTATTGCCGAATACTCGTTGCTCTGCACGATACAGTTTGTCAAAACTGTGCACAAACCAATGTACATTTCTAAAATATCACAGTAGTGAGTGAGGTCTCGTTTACCGCAGTCATTTTTCGGGATTCCAGTGAAACACCTGTAAACGTTACACATCTACATATTTCTTTCATGCTTCAGTTACATAAAGCCAAAGTTCATCCTTGTACAAAATATCTGCACGGTATAAAATGCTCTTATTTTCAATAAGGACATTTAAAACGATTAATTATTTTTATAGATTTACCCAAAGAAATATCTATCAAGACGATGTTCATGAAATTGTCGGATCACATCATAATGACCGATAGAAATCAAATTATTCAGTAATGAACAGACTGCGGTGATCAATGATGGAGTTGCTATGAACTGTGGATAATTCTCATCCTCTGTGATTTCCGAACCTTTGACCGACACTGGAACATTATTCGCCGATTGATTTAAACGTAATCATATATAACATACATTTAACCTACCATAATACGAGGCTATTTACTTACGGAGTTGCAACTCATCGTGGCAATCATAGAGATTAGAAACTGTTCTAGGTAATGCAGACATGCAACCTGAAACACCACTCTGCAGAGATTGAGCTTTAGTGCTGCCTTCTTGCTCATTAGAAGAATCAGGATCCAGAGTAGATGACGTGTAAATATTGGAAACCAATAAACTTATTTCATAATATACATTGTTTTGCTCGATATATATCACTATAGCAGTCGGTTGCAAAGAATCAGCCTGTACAACGGGAACAAATCGTCAAACTTCTTTAAAATAATGAATTAGTAGTGTCTGCGTATATGCTGGTATAACATCATACTGTAAATGCATGTTTTAATTAATAATAATTAAAATTATGCGTTGAATATCAACTTACGTATTGGAAAGTAATCGAGGCACTACGTTTGACAATGTTGCTGAGAGCAATACATGCTTGTTCGCGAACAATACAGGATTCCTCTCGATTGATGATGCATCTAAGTAACGTTTGACATAGTTCACTAGGAGCCAAAGCCATTGCGTTTAATAGTTGCGGAGCAGTGTGGTCAAAATTTGTTAAACCAGCCAACAACTGTAATGCCGAAGCTCGTACGAGTGGATCTCTGTTTCTCCACAACATTGGCAGCCATGTTAAAGATCTCCCATCAACATACCAAAATGTTGTCCACATCTAAATAATTAAAGAACAAGGATAGTTAGGTAACAAACACACGTAAGTCGACTTAAAGGGACAAAGGCTTATTGAACGAACCAATTCGAACTTGTGTCTATTTTTAAAAGAACTTACACTTTTATTTAAATTAGTTTGCATTTGATGTAATAAATGATTGAGGCATATTATCGAATTTCTTGTTATAGACAGCCCCATGTAACTCACAGTGCCTGCTCCATGGAACGATATAATAAGTTCGACCAAAGCATTTCCAAGAGACACGAGTAAATTCTTATGAGTGCTCCATTGACATTTACTTGTCAAATATGTAAGGCACGTTAGTAACCCATCGAGATACGCTTAAATGAAACAATAAAGTTTTTAATTTAATAAACATGTAACAAATGTGATTTTATTGGAGGGTATCGGAAAATGATCATCTTTACCCAAATTATAAAAATGTTGTTGGTCTCCAAAGCAAAGATTAGAGACGACGAGTTCAATAAAATTGATCCACGTGCCTCTTGATTCCTTATCTCTTTCATCACTTTTTTCAACTGCGGAACAAGCTCGTGCAAGCTTTAATACCGCTTGATGCACGTCTTGATTATTCGTATCTACATTGCGAAGTATGTCCGCCAATGACTTCGTCATATTTTTCATAACTTTACATAGCCATTCGACTTTACCTGCAATATATACAATTTTTCGTGATAAGAAATGTGATTTCAAAAACTATTGCATTAGACTGACGTACCGTTTTTCATTACATTAATGTATATGTACAGGAATGAGAGCACATTAACAAACAATTCATAATCTTCCTTGCTCGTGGGATGTGACAGTAAGAAGCGTTCGAAGGACTGAGCCCAAGGTAATGAATTCAAGTCTTCCACTTCATCGTAACTTAGCATGTTGTACAATTTCAGGTACCTATAAAAAAATAACCAGTATCTCAAGTAAGTAAATGTCACAGAACCTCGTTACGTGCTTTGAAAATTATTATTAAATTAGTTGTGTATAAGAGAAAGAAAATTACATAGTGAGGTAGTCAAGTGCATAAAAAACACCATTGTGCGTTGTAGAATTTTGTATACTGTACAGCTTTTGCTGACAGCAGTAATGTGGGAAACTATATTGGAGAATAGCAAAATCAGTTTCTCCAATAATTAGTTTTTCAGTTGTATCCATGTTATTTAAACTGTCCCAGGATTTCCACAAAACATTTAGACCATTGTGCCATTCCCAAACCCAAAACTGTCTGACAAAAGTCAAAGCCAATGGATTACTGCTATGTAAAACTGTTAAATTAAAAACGTACAAATGAAACCACATTGTGTTACTCAATCAGCATCAATCATCATCTTATCCTATCAGAAAGAAACAAAAAATACCTGATACATCGGAACGCCTGTTAATACTGGTTTTCCAATGAGCTCTACAGTAAAAAGGTAGTCTCATTTGAGAAACAATAATATATGGCAAGGAAATGTTTAATTCATTCTGCTTTTCTAAATGCTTATCACCTAATTTCATAATGTACTCATTGTATATTAGCAAACAAAGCAGGTGAGAAGCATCAACCTTCAGCCCTTCATTATTGGGATATAAAAATAAACCTGTAAAGAAAAGAAATATCACAAATTTTTCCATCTAGCAGGTTTATAATATTAACTGAACATTTAGAATATTTTAGAAAATTCCATTTGCGAGTTTATTATGTTTACGTACTTCGAAGAATATTTAAGAACACATCAATCCGATTTGACAGTTCAAGTCGTGTCCCAGTATCAGTAGAAGTAATTAATTTTAGTATTCTTATTATTGGTATTACAGAGTCTGGATAATCAGAATACTCCTTTTCCATCTGAGAATAAAAGAAAGTTACAAACATTTTTTAAATAACACGTTGAGATTTTGAAAATGTTGAATTGTACTAATATGTATTATACCAATGCTTTCGAAAAAATCTTCAAAATTAGAGCAAGGCCATTTTCTGTAATGAAGAGTTTGTGTAACGATGTATCGGTAAGCATCACACTAATTTGTACTAAAGCAGACTTTCTCATCTTTGGTTCAACATTTGAACCATTCAACATTTCAAGTACCGACAGCAAACTGCTTCTCTGAAGACAAATATATTGTTTATTACTTAACTGATAATATATGATTGTAGATATTCCTCTTTTTAAGTGATAACTAAACAAGAATTTAGAAATTTTTGCGCTTTCACGCGATTAGGTAACCTGATAGTTGCCTTCTGATCGCTTGAAGGATGTCTGACGTTCAAAAATGCAAAGTGAACTCAACGGCAGACCATGTAGTGAAGACAACTTCGGCAGCTTTTGAATAGAATCTTTTTCCTTTCCAAGTAACCATACAAGTCTACATAGAGCTTCTTCCCTGATGTCGCTGTCAGGTGAAAATAAAAGTCTTATATTGCCCTTTAGAACCTTTCAAACAATAAACATATTTTTCGTGTTAATACGTGTATTTCTACTATCATTAAACAAATAAGTTACGTCTACATAAAAAATATATATGTAACCATAAGAGAAAGTGTAGTACCTCAATATATGGAAGCTGAATCCTAGATGAAATATCCGGGTCAAGCATTTTTGTAACACATTGTCCTAAAATTGTAGATGTATGCGCGTGACACTGTAAAAGTGCTAACACAGGTACAATGGATTCCAAAAATTTTAGCCAACCAGTTTCTCCCAATTGTAGTCGTCCTTTTAACATATAAATAAGTATGTCTTCTGCCATACTTTTAATCTATAATGGGAACAAATTATAGTAAAAATACGTTATTAATGTCAAAGTGAAAATGAAAAAATCACTCGTTACTTCTTCATCTTCATTCATTACTCCATGACAAATAATTTCCGTCATAATGCCTGGTTGAAACAAAAATTGTATATTTTCCCAAGAATGCCTTTCCCTATGATATTCAACTCCTAAGACATCTGATATTAGTCTATGACATTCTTTGTACATCATGCGTTGAATTTCCACATCTCCATATGCCAGAAGACCGAGAGTTAATTTTGTTGCCAATGACTTATCTTCGGTACTGAGAGTAGATCTTGAATAATTTAATGTCTCATGTAAGTGCAGAAGTAAAATCTTGACAAATAGTACGAAGTATTTCTATCATACTTACTCTGTAACGTTTTGCATTAACTGGATAAATTTCTTAATAATACTTAAATTTTTGTGATAAGATAAGCTCATTTTTGAAGCATATATTGCTTTAAGTATGTCACTTTCAGATTGACCAGTTGAGCCTTTTATAACGGAAACAGTTGCTCTCAAAGATTTTGTAATGGAACGAGTTTCATCAAATTGTTTCATAAATTCTAACTCCTCTGTTCCATGGAAATGCTGCAATGCAATGCAAAAAAAGTAATTTATAGTGTAAGTATATATTAGTGAAAAAATAAAGGGAAAATAATACGAAGTTTAAAATACAGTATAATTGATTTCTTACGCGTGCATATTCTTGTAGTGTTGTATGCAGTGTTGGGTACATTAAATAAATTGATGCATCCATAACTGCGAGGCATATTGATGATTTTAATGGTTTTGGTAAAACTGCATCAGCTATTTCTAGGGGTACGATGTTGCTTAATAATTTTGTAATAATTGATAAAAGATGGAGGTACGTTACTCTGAAGTAATCGACACTGCTGTAGTTTCCAAAATACTCAATCACTTCACCAAATAACTTCAGCAGTGCCTTTAAATCTTCATGAATTTTTAATGAAACAGAATCATTGGAAATCCAAATAGTAGGCACTATGCTTGTTATCAATAACTGAATAAGTTCATAAGATAGGTCAGTTATGTATTTTATGTCCTTAAGTGGAAGCGACGGATCACTGGGAATGCTTAGAAGTGATATAGCATGCTTCAAAGATGAGATGCAGTAAATTGGAATTGACATTTGTTGAAGTTGTAGTACAGATTCATCTACATTGTCTGTGATGCTATGACTTCTTTCACTTGTTCCCTGAAAAAGAAAGACATTTTTTATATACTTCTCAATGGCTCTTAAAGTGATGCTAATGTTTTAAACATTACATACAGCTGATTGATATGCTTGATAATTAGCCTCAGGTACACCTTCAGGACTATCCCTGTCGTCAATAGAAGCACTACTTTCTAAGTTCCTTGCTAATAACTAAAATAAAATCATGTAAAAATGACACAAACAATTTTAAAGATAATAAGTCTATGGTATACTACCTTTTGCTTTTTATTTGCTACACATGGATCACAATAATAATAAATACGAAATCTTAGAGAGCGAGTTAATTTATATAGTGTTTTTAATACTGTTGAAGCTACATTACGAACATTATCTTCACAAATGTTCCCATTTGTTTGAATTAATGTATGTAACACCTGTAAAAAATAATAAATATTTAGAAAATATAAAAAAGAAGATAATAACATCAGATAAAATATAAGGTTTTAAATAACATTTACCAAAACTATTGCAGGTCTTTGAAGGAAAACTTCAGCTGGAAAATCTTGTAGCATAACATTTGTTATAAACTGACATGTATGAATTATTAAACTTGTATCTGTAACATTATTAAGAGCTTCTTCAACTGCTGACAATACTCCTCGGTCCGATGTCACCAGTGGTTGCCACGGCATAACCAACCATCTGACACCACCCTCCGATTGCTTGGACACTGGCGTTCCATTCTCACATTCAAGAGTTAAATCAATAGAGGTTGTGCTACAGAATATCAGTTCAAAAACGTTTTACATATTCAATTACTCTAAACCAGTTGCATCCAAATTTTGTATAAATTTTCTACATACTTGGCCGAAGATGATGGAAGAGTAAAGATGCTACGTGTGTGACTATTATCGTACATCCTGAATTCATTGTCATTGGAATTATCTTCATATTCTTTACGATAAGTACGTGTTTCAACAGGTACCTTTAAAACAATATGTTTGTCACATTCGATTGAGAAAGAAATTACATAAAACTAAAATAATGCAGTTCACAATAGTCGAAAATACCTTCAAAGGATGAACCACATTTTCAGTTGTCAAAAACTGTTTTGCATTAAGCACAGCCTCTTCAATTTGATTGAGTATATCATGCCAAGTAGAATCAAGCTTACAACGTAATTCATGAAGTTCATTTTGAAACCGCAATTTGCCAAAAGCATTTAAATACAGAGCTCCGTTGAACTTGAACGGATTTTATTATTAGTCTCAATATTGGATTGAATGAGTATAGAAACATTGTAATTCTATAAAAAAGTACCTGTATCAATCGCAAAAGTAAATATAATGCCTTGTCTGGATGGGGAACAGTGTCGAATGAAAACCAGTTCAAAAGTTTCAGGATCAATTCTTTTCTGAGAGCATCACAGTCACAGGTAAAACCATGATCGATTTTAGAAATAATACTATCCAAAGCTCTTGAACGTATCTCCTCCAATGAGTGACCTGAAATTAATGTAAAATAATTGGAAACCGCTAAACAGTTTTAGGTTAACTCGACATAACCAATGATAATTGACATAAATAAACGATAATTTGTTTCCAAATTGCAGCGTACCTAACTTCTTTACGTGAACCGACGTAATTCCGCTGACCTGAGACATTTCATACGATCATTATTTTGTATAAACTGTTACTAGTTTAGGTTAAGTTCGTTAGTTTACGTTCATAGATTTATGAAGAAACGATTGGAGCTTAAAGTGAGATTTTGACTAAGGGGTTGGGACTCGAGACGAAGAGGAGAGGATTGTGGCGGCCATCTTGCGTTGCTACATCTATCTCATATACGTGACAGCGGTAATCAGTGTATGTATGGCGCCTTTTTTGAAATACGATAAAGTGCGTGCCAAAAGGTATAATAATCGTAAAAATGTATCGGACACTATTTCTTAAGACACAAAAGTCGTAAAACTGTTCATTTAGTAACAGTTATTGTGTACTTTAAACTGTTTTTATATCCGCTTAAAGTAAGGGAGAACGTTAACAACACAAGATGGCCGCCAACCATGTTTTCTCCTTACGTCCTGAGCAAAGTCTTCGGTTTTAAACTTCGTTCACGTAGTGATATCATTCAATCTTTTTTCACACATCCATATTTATCACATGTTATGTGCTCAGGTCTGTTCTGCAACTCAAGTTCATTTCTAAAACCGGGCCTCAGTCAATGAAATGATGAATCTGAAGGCCGCAATTCGATCATTAAAACATAATACGGCGGATTAGTTCCAACACAACGGCGCCACTTTTCATTAAACCGTTCTTTTTGAAACCGATGAAAGAAGTAAGATAGAAATGGAATTACTGGCAAAAGAGTTGCAAGAATCATTTCAAAAGAATAGCATAACTGATTACAAATAATAGCAATATTAGTCATGCGGTAAATATTTCTTGTTATAAAATATTTTCATTACTAAATGGAGTTTAACCATTCTTTCAATAAAATCACATCCATATCGAATACAGCAGATAATTACTGCTCCACTAACTTCGTAAACTTACTTTTGTCCCCAAAGGAGATTCGCTTGAAAAATATAAGCACTCTTATTTGAGATAGTAATTCTGGGAGTGGAGGGGATAAATACCAAAGTCGTCAGTTCTCCACTTTTCGTTTATTTAATCAAAGAATTGAACGGACATTAATAACAGTACGAACTGGCGTAGCACCTTCGATCCAGGGGCAGAAAAATCGCTTGAGGTAATCCTCGTTACTCTAAAACACAGATAATTACACCGCAGTCAAACTGGTCCGTTCTGCCAGCCGGTCGAGGATGCGCGCGACGTTAACCTTTCCTTAAACGTTATAGCTTACGAAATTACTGGGTAATCCAAGCGCGTGCTCCGCTATAATGAGGTTCCCCGTTGTTACGATCAGACATGCTCCACGACACTGACGACTATACGTTATTTAACTGCATATAAACGTACAAAACGTTAAAACTAATAATCGCGAGCCTCGGCGTTCTTTCGGTAGCTAGTGAACTTATCTACGCATGCGCGGTGCGCGACGGTGCACATCGAACGAAGCGCCGCAGCTGCAGGAGCATCATCGGAAAGCTTACGCGAAATTAGGAACATAGGGTATTAGACGATCCTCCGACGAAAATGCGGGCGAGCTTCCTTTGCGCAACTATATTTATACGGCCAATTTATAAAAACTAATGTGTGGCGCCTTGCAGACGCCACGCGACGTGGGATACGAAGACGACTTCTCGTTTGGAGCTGAGTTTACGGAAATGGCATTCTGATCTTCCTATATCGGAACCCGGAAATTCCTACCTACGGGTCGCTAAACCGCTGCGACACTCAAGGATTTACAAACAATTCCCGAAACATGACCGCCATATTGAAAACGAAGGCCCCCACTTATGTACAGCAGACAAGTTACCGTGGACGTGATTTTTTACTTGCACCCCCGCATTGCGCGTACACTGTTAAATATGTTTCGATTTCTTGAATACTGTCGAATATAAATGTCTATTAAAGCCAGAAACGGAACTCGAAGTGAAAACTGCACAAATGTGTTTTACATTTAGAACCTTTCTGCGCGGAAATCGCGCAGAAGTACTCAAAATTTTGAATAAAACAGTAAGATGAGAAAAGAAATCGCTGTGAATGTAATCACTGTAATTAGAAATCAGAATAAATATACTACAATGCGCTTTTCTCAAAATACATACAATTGTGTATGCGTACTTGATGGAAAATTAGTATACATGCCCTTTAAAATTCGTGTACCAAAATCCGGAATACGATTGTATACGAAATAGTGTATCTTGAAAGAAACTTCGACCGCACGTGGTATTACATTTTTAACAGTGTATAAACGTTACGTATACGCGAAATGAACTAAGAAACTCGCTAGAGTTTCGCGCCAAGTACATTTCAGCGAGTTAGAGAAGCTGTAAATGTCATTAGAACGTAATCGCGGCTACAAATTTGTGATCGGCCAAGAATCAGTTGCAGATTTATAGGGTATTTTTGTAATGTTCACGAAATTTTGAGAACGAAGTTGCGAGCAATGTTGTCATTAGAGGTATAACGGGATTACATGTAATTTTCATCCGTGTACGTTGGAATTTGCATGCAAATACTGGCCACGGTCAATACGCGAAACTGTAGGTACAAGTTGCTGAATTTCTGCGAGAATTCGGATGCGCTACATCCATATCAATTAACGTAGGTCCGAGTAACGAGATCAAAGATGCCGTTTTACCGATTGGATTACAATATTGAGTCGGCCATAAAATGATTAGACAATTAGTTACGTGCGTTAATGATAATTCCGTTCGTAGCCTCGGTACCCATACTGAAAACCGGTCGAAAAAGAGGATTACTGCAACACTTCTCGTATACCGAAACAAATACAATATCGCTTTAAGAGCAGACCAGCCAATATTAATCCCGCAATTCATTGGTCGTCCTTACGTTATCTATCGAGGGCTCAATTTGTTCGGTCTTAATGAATTGTTGCATGCTTGCGTGCACAAATCCTCGGCCGAGGATAATACGGTAAAGTATTTACGCTCGATAGAAACGTGGAGTAACTTTCTGCCGATACAAGCAGGTGCCTTTAATAATACAATCATCGCGTATCACATGACATGGAACGACCACTGGTCGAAAACGCGCACTCACTTTGTATACAATCTATCAGTCTAGCGTGTTCCGATCGCCTTGTAAAACATAAAGCCATTATTGCTTCTTTGTTGCTCAGCGTCGTTTATTTGCAATCACCTGGCCGTGTTGACTCTTCGAAAAGGAAGTTATCTCAACGATAGGCCAAATTTCTTCCTCTTCCCCAAGAAAAGTTCCCGTATGCGGTCCGTGGAACAACATAATACACATTAGTTATATCAATTTCACGTAAATTTTTCACTAAAAGGGCCTTCAGTCGTGTCATTGTCGTTCTCATTAGACGCGCCCAGATAGAAATTCATGATCATCTGAAGAGGAAAACTGATTTACAAACAATTTGCAGACCATTCGCCGCATGAAACGTCTGCAATATGTGTACGGATATTACACAATAAATTTAAACAAAAAGTTTGCAGTTAATTTCTCACGCTATGACTCAAATACGAGCTGCAGACGTTGCAATTGTTTGTGGGCAACGCATTAGATAAATTTAGCTATATGTATATGTGTACAAATATTGAAACATTGCACGTACTTAACTTTCTTTCGTGTTCAAGTATTTTTCTTTCGTCATTGTGTACTGCGGATATGAGTTCCAAATGAGGACTCATAAGCAACACCCTCGTGAATAATTTCATGATCTTTTATCAGGTAGATTTGATGCAAACTTTGCCTCACTTTGTCTATCCGGGCGTCTAGATGAAAACCGAAATCGCTGAGACATCTAGAATTTTATAAATTACGCCAACACTGCAAGACATTGTACGGCGGAGGTGCAGCCTCGTGATTAGCATGAGCATGTTAGACAATTTATCGTGTCCATCGCGCGGACGATTTAAAGGGTGCCGGACTTGAGAATCGTCGATCGTATATGCAGTTAAACAATTGAACGCTTTTTACCTTCTACGATTTGAATCGAAACGCATTAGGAGGGAAGATAGGAGCCGCTAAAGGTGGGCTCGACATCGTTAGAGCGTAGAGAGTAAGAGACGGAAAGAGAGCGAATTTCTTTTGAAGCTGAGCACGATAGGTCGTCCTTCTTTCTCGTCTCAGGAAGAATGAGAGAACCGGGAACAGCGCGATAATCGGTAAAAGTGGGAGAAACGGGAAGGGCTCGAGAGCAGGAGACACACTGAGGAGGGTATATCGTTATAACTATTATAAAAATAATAAATATGGCGCGGTAATCTGACTAATACAGCAGTCTCGCTGATTACGCGTTATCACGATTCCCTATAATCGGCCCATTTCCCCGTAATATGCGTCGCATTACCGCGCCTCGCACGATCTTAAACACCGATAATAAATATCTATATACCTTAACTTTACTAGAGTGACTCGATTCCCACGTAAAACGTCCAAATTAACAAAGATGTCAACGCAAGGGATATACAGCCATATCTTATCTACACGTCGTAACTATTACACTTTAAAATACTGTCTGGATTTTTGTCAATATCTTCTGTATCCTCTTTTGCGTTTCCCCGTCAATGTACAATATAATTTCAATAAAACTTATGTGTGTATATATATATATATGTATATGTATGTACGCATTTTTATGTACAATATATGTATCAATATTCATCGACCTATGCACGGTAAATATATATGTATAATAAATTATCGTTATTGTTATCCTTAGCGTTATTGTTATCGGTATCGACTATGCTGCTCTCGTAAGAATTAATGATGTGTACCTGTTTTGAACTATTTTATTAGTTTGATGCGGCTCTAGAGCTAAAGAGGCGAGAGACACGCAGTAAGTTTTCGACAGGTGGGAAATTCGACTAATCGTCCTGCTGATAACGAGCCCGAAATCGCTGTCGTATTTTTGCGTTATCTAAATGTGAAGCAAAATGAACTAATTATGAATTTTGCATACGGTTTCTATAAATCTCACATGATGCGCTAACGTGAATTACACATTGTACTTGAAAGAGATTTAATAAACTCAGTCGATGTACTCTCATAAATGTAATGCGATTGTTCCATTATTTATATACTTTTACGGTTATTTTCACTGCAGGGAATATAGAAACATTGAATAATCTGATAATGCCATTTTTGTTAACG